TGGCAGCACAGATGAGCCCTCATCTCCAGAGGACTCCAGCTCACCTTGTGATGCGGCGATATACATGATTTCCTCAGCTGGGGAACCGAATGAGATGCCGGGCCCGCCGCGGCTCTGGTCAGCAAACTCATTCGGAACTGCACGGTTTGCAATGTGAAAGACGGGGTGTGGACCGAGGATATTTCGTCAGTTTAGTTCCAGACCTGACTCTTAGGTCACCCTGGCCACCAGCCGAAGTATTATCTCGCGTGGAGAAAATAGATCGGGGTGTGGATGAGGGGACTCTCGCTCTATTGAGCTCATCGAGTCTCGATCGTTACATTGCGATGGTCATGTTCCCGCTGGGAGAACGTGACACATCCACGAACGCTGTTTGAGCGTGATCGAAGCCCAAACACGTCAAAACAACGCTCGTGCCCATCAGCTGAATCTATCAGAATACCGCACTCCGAAATACACGGGCAGATCTTCTTTAGACAGACGTGCCTCGTGCACGCTCTTTTTGTGAGAGAAAAGCTTGCAGCAGTGCTTAAGAGCCCAGGGAGAAACACACACACTGTTCAGTTCAGCAGGCAGGAATGTGAAACTCGCTGGAACTCGCCATCACACCAACACCGACTGGAAGCTGCTCGTCTAGAAGATTCTCGAAGATAGTCAGAGAATAGGCTGCAGGAGTGAAGAGAACTTCTTGGCTCCGGAGCGAAAACATATCTGCATGTTGCGGCGTCCTTCCTTTTATACCCACACGGTGGGGCGGAGTTACGCCATGCAAATTCCGCAGACCCATGGCATTTCCTTTCCATTGGCTCGTTTTATTTCTTTCGACGATGAGAGGCTTCTAAGCGAAACCCATTTCGTCGTCATTCGACGTATCTCGAAGTGACAACGAAAGGGAACTAAGTATTTTGAACACCCGGTAGAAAATATATACATCAATAATTATTCATACTTACAGGCTGGTCCAAATAAACTGGGTAGTGAACAAGTGTAAGCGTTTTGCGTTGAACTTTTTACAGTCGTCACTGAAATGACGTTTCGTGGACGGACAGCGTACAACATAGGCGGGCATTATGCAAATGTATCTTCTAGTGACGTTGAACCATAAAGCAGTAGGATTCGTATGAAAAATGACTCGGATTGGCAGTTCAGAGTCGAATCTTTCTTTTGGGAGACAATAACTTTATTTATCGTGCACTTTCGATTTTACAACTTTGCAGAACGTTTACATTCACAAACAGCTATATTACACACTGCATGAAAGAGAATATTCGAAAAACCATAATAGGGGCACTTTAACAGAAATGTCCTTAATTGTGCTCAATCTATTCTCTTAAATAGTGACCATTTTTTGCACTCAGAGTTCTCTATTCTGCCCTCTGGCTCTTGCTACAGACTACCAAAGATGAAGAGCAATCAATACAAATAATCATTTGTCCCCTGTGCAATCAGACGTTTAAATATTCTGAATAGTAAACATTAGAATTTTAGATTTATATGTACAGTTGTAAGTTCTTATTTGTTATATTTTATATTGTGGTGTGTATTTTATGTCTACTATGCTGCATCCAAATTGCCCGCAAGGGATCTTAATAAAGTTGAATTGAACTGATCTTGACTGAAATCATTAGAGGTTCCCCTAAAAATATTTAGTTGGTTTACATAATGCAGCCTTTCTGACAAGCAGATAACTCGGTTAACAACAAAAACGATAATCTGTTAGAAGCGTAAAACAGCCTTTGAAGCATCAACTAAACAGAATTTGGTTATATTTGTGTAAATACATTCTACTTACATTGTGTAAGTAGAATCATGCAGATATTGTTTTTTTCACAATATTTTGCATTCATTAATAACAACTCTTTATCCACCTAACAAATGCAGATTGTACAGTATCTACCTATGGGTGGGAGGAAAATTTACCTAAGAATTGCCTTGCAAAGTTTAGCTACATATTATAATATATAATATATTACTGCAATTAGTGTAATATTTACAAACATATAAATGCTTGGTGACAGATTTAGGGTCAACCATGGTTCTTAAAATATAAATATATTAATCTGCGAGCTTCTCTTCAGTGTAGAGAGAACCACTCGATCTAAAAAGTAGCTTTGTGCTATAATGTACAAAAAAATTATAAAAAGACAGATGCTTTATTTATGAAAATTTGAGATTGTTTTAAATAAAAAAGTAGTATCTTGGTATCATTATTGATCATAACATTTGCTGCAAAGGTTCTGAGGAAGTACTGCTACTTGTCAATGGTTTATCCACCTGTAGATTGTAAAAACTCCATAGAAAACTAATTGGCAGTGAGTTTACTTCAAACTAACTGGATATAGATATACTGAATGGTTGGTTAAAATGTCTTGCACATTTTGACACATCAATTTGATAGTTTCTGCTGCATGATTCAATCAGTGCAGTCCACTTTCTGTTTGACAAGTTTAGAATCTCACTTTGTTTAAATAACCTCTCACTTTCACTGGAGTGTGTACTGATGTCCTTGCTGGGATTGGGAAAAGAAAGTGTTAGAAAGGGATTAAGAACATTATAAATACACTGCAAAATTACCAACTCGATATACAATTGGTCCACTAACATTTATAACCTCAGCGAACAAATGACTCAACAGTAAGGAACAAGGCCAGAGTGAAAGAGTTTAGAGTTGTCAGATTCTAGTAGGGCCAGTGTTGTATTGTCACAGATGTTCACTGATAATTTTTTTGTCTTCCAAACCTTTTCTCTGCCTTTCTGTGATGTACTGAACACTGTTGAAAATTCTGCTAAAAAAAAAGCTGCAAATGAACTCAAAAATGAAAATTCTGTCATAATTGACTTACCCTCATGTCATTCCAAACCTGTATTCCATTCTTTTTTCTGCAGAACATAAAAGAAGATATTTTGAAGAATATTGGCAACTCATTTGGTTCCCATTGACTTCCATTATACGAGCAAAAAAATGTAAGTCAAAGGGGAAAGAAACGGTTTGGTTACCAGCATTCTTCAAAATATGTTCTTTCATGTTCCATGGAAGAAAGAAAGACATGCAGCTTTAGAACAACATGACAGTGAGTAAAAGATGACAGAGATTTAATTTTGGCGTGAAATATCCCTTTAAAGTAAAAACCGAATGTAATGTTCAAATATGTTTTTCTAACACATTTAATAATGTTACTAAAACTAACATTTATCTGTAACGGGGCCAGCAGCAAAAATTCTTATTGTTGAGTTCCGAAGTGCAAACAGCAAAGAAAGGCAACTGATGACTTACAGCAGCAACACAATAGAGAACAACATCATTAGTTTGAGCCCATTCTAATTTAAAGGCAGGTTTGTGAGTATTTGTTGTGATTCACAAAACAAAAACAAAAAAGTTAATGGATAGGTTTGACTTATAACCCTGTAAAGATTACTAAATACTAGTCTAAATATTCAGTCGCAAGCGTGGGCAACACAAAAAGCATATTTACAGTACAAACACATATTGAACACCCATGCACTCAAATACACATTTTACACCACTACAAGTTGGCAATACTATCAGCCTCCAACAAACATGTCCCTCTGAAATACATTTAAATGTGTCAAAACGGGTCTTCCACCTATTCGTGAACAACAAACAGACTTATAGAGAGTTATCAGGAAGTGGGAGAGGTGTTCTGGGCCATGCACACAGTGGTTGGAACACCACGATTCATGACACACACAGATTCTGCAGGCGGTTTGTGCCGGCCCTGCCGGGAAGCCTCTACAGACATGAAAAAGAAGAGAGACAACAAACGAGTTATTACCCAGACACCTAGAAAACAAAGACGGGTGAAGAGGGTGCAGGATGACTTGCGAGCCAGCGCAGAGGAGAGATGGAAAGGGTCAGGAGAAGTAGGAAGAAGGGATGAAAGGAGAGCAGAGGGTGACGTTAATGCGGTCTGCTAGCAGGCACGTTCAGCAGGCGTAAGGCAGGCTTTAGCATCATACCTCATTGAGCAGAGTGTATGTTGACACCATTTGTTCAAAACTTCAGCTTGTTCACAGCATGCAGGTGTTTCATGGTTTCCTTAATGTTAATGGTTTAATTCATCAGCATGCTCATCAGTGCAGTCTGCCATGCTGCTCCACCTGGAGACACTCCCCCCCCCCTTTTCACTTGCATCAAAGACCTTCCAATCCAGCTCTTTTGGCGCTTTTCCACTGCTGGTACGGCTCGGTTCGGCTCGGTACGGTTCGACTCGGCGCGGAACGTTTCGGCTCGCTTCGCTTTTCCACTGCGTGGTACGACTCGACTCGGTACGGCACGGTTCGGTTCGCTTTAGCTCGGGTGCTTTTCCACCGCAGTTAGTACCTCTTCAAAGTGGGTGGGACTGATCGTTATTTTGTCCCTACACTTGTAGGTCCGGTGATAGCCGTGTGCGGCTAAGAGCTGAGCTACTTCTTGGAACACTTTTTCATTCCGTTTTGCCCCATCCAGCTCTCGCTGGATCCGCTCCTCGGCAACCAACGAGAGGAACGTCTGCACCTCGTCCACTGACCACGATTCAGCCATTTGTTTTTAAAGTTTAAAAAACAGATGCTACCGCGTTGGCTGTTGTCTACCGGTTATTTAAATCTAGCGGGTTTAGTGTCCAATGACGCTGGTAGTGACGATTCTGTCTGACCAATCAGTGATCTGCAGTGTTTTTACGTCACATTTAAGTACCGGTACGGTACGCTTGGAACCTCAACAGACCAGGTACCATTTAAAGCGAGCCGAAGCGAGCCGTACCGTACCGGACCATGCAGTGGAAAAGCACCACAAGTGAGCCGTACCGAACCGAACCGTACCGTACTATGCAGTGGAAAAGCGCCATTTGTGCCTGGCAACTTCAGGTCAAAGAGAGTATTGGTATCCAATGAAATATACATCATCCAATGAAAGATACATTTCACTGCAATCAATGAAAGAAAAACCCCAAGCACTCTAACAAGTTTCATACAAAATTTATTTCATGCTATGATTGTAGTCATGTTTTTCTTTTTTTTCTATGCAGTTATTGTTGCATAACAGTGCATGCATTTGTTTTCCCCCAAAGTTCTCAATTGCATACAATTCTCTTATAATGTAAATATACATCTGTCTTTTTTGCTTTTCTTTGTGTTTTAGTACCTAAAAGTAATGAGAGAAAATGTAAAACATCTCGACAGGATGTCGTTTTTCTTATTTTTGATGTTTTTTCTCCAAAAATAACACTGTCAAAAGTCTGCACTTGATATGTGAAATAAACAGTTGCGCACGACAGTTTTCCACAGGATCTATTCACTGATAATTATGACATGAAACAGAAAAATAACTCATTTTGCTCAGTTTTTGTTTTTTCCCTATAAGATCCAGAATCACAAGCATGCCAGACAGAAACAATGTTGAATAGTGGAATTTACAATCCATCTCATGGCAGTAACCACTGCGTCTCATTCAGAATGTGAGGTCAATGTGACCAGAGCTGAGTCATGTGGTTAGCAACAAAGACAGAATAACATGAAAGAAATCTGTTGCTGAAATAAAGAACATGGTTTCTGAAAATCTCATTATCCATGGCTACATGTCAATTCTGCAAAAGTCAAGAACTCTTGAAAGAAAATATTTGTTTTATACAGATATTCATAACAGATATTGATTATTTTCCTCTTTTTTAATGTAACACCATGCAGCTCATGCTAAAATGAACAGGTAAGAGTCCACTACATCTGTCACTGCAGGTACTATCATTAGTATTATGATTATATACTCATTTTGCTGGCTTTAAATCCAACCATTCGTGTCACTCTGCAGTTGATGGTCCTTAAGGTCTTCCTTATAAAAGTCCTGGTCCATGAGATCACTCACACTGTCGGAATCTAAATCAAAAATGTTTGCCACTGCGTCGACTGGCATCCTCTATTGTGCTCGTTTTCCCTCTACATATACGTCCCTCCTTTGGATTCCAGCCTGAAATCCCTCTGGCCATTGTGGAGTCCAGCAAGGCTGGAGAAGGTTTGAGATGCTCCTGCCTTCTCAGGTCACTTTAAGCACCTCTGACTGCATATACTTAACTAGGGCAGTGTCCTCTTTGCATGGATCTGCAGTAGAAAATACAGGGGAGGATGGGATTGCTCAGGGTCATCCAGCCATTGGGCCTTGTTTTCATTCAGCTCACAGAATGAGGAAATGGGCTGAGAAAATAAGACTTCCTTTTTTCTGTATGGTAAAAACATTCATTTGGGTTGCTTTTGCAACCCAGGGCTAAAAAGTTTGGAGAAAGAGAGATGGACAGAAATGCACAGGGAGAATGAAAGAATTGCAAAGGAAGTAGAGACATTTGCCGTTGACAGCGGAGGAGAGAAAAAGGGAGTCCTGATACCTCCTACCTGGGGTCTCATTAAAGAGGTGATAAAGAAAGAAGGGAGCAAGACTCCAGAGCAAAGGGGAAGTACAGTAAAAAGTTAAATGGGGAAACTAAACAAAAAAGAAACCGATAGAGCATAGATTGTTTTGTCTTCCAGATGTCAGAAAGGGTTTTATGCAAGAATATACTCTGACGGGAGAGGATTTCAATATTCATAGTAAATCTAAAAAAAATCACGATATATATCATTTGAAGGGAGGTTTTGCCTCATTAGATCGCAGTCTTTCTATCAGAAGTTTCCAGTTATAATGGTCCCTGGAAAAATAAAGAAAGGTTTACCTTCCTCATCCCAGTTCTTTTATTATGTCTAATAAACTCTCGTCCTAACCCTAATCCTTAAAAATTTCCCTGAGATCTTTTGGAAGTTTTCTTTCTCTGATGGCTTTGTGTGAGTCAAGATTCTGTATATGTAAAGACAAGAAACAAGCAAATTGGACAGAAGAGGAGACGAGGAGACAGCTCCAGAAGACAAGGACCAGAGAACAAGACAATCCAGACCAAAGCAAACACAGAAGAGAAAGCAGCAGAGCAGGAAGAAGACCCAGGGAGGCAACTCTAACTTTATCACTGCTCCATTTCTTAGAGAATGGAGGGGATTGGAGAATGGGACCTCCGCAAGAGAACAGGTGGGCCGCAGGACCGGGTGGGCATCGATACTACCTCGGCCAGTGTTCGGGCCTTGCTGGTTATGGTGCCCAGGCTTCGGGACTTTTGATAACCTTGGTTTAGTGGAGAGAAATGTGCACATGGCAGTTGCTGAGATTCAAAGGTTTCGTCTTGACATCTGTCAGTTTGCTCCACACAATGTTTGCTGTTATGGGTCAGGTTTAAAGGGTTTAAGATTGCATGCAATCTCTGCGTGAGGGCATGCACAAAGATCGGTTGGTTAGTCTGGCATTAGAGTGAGAAAAGAAGGCTATTGATTGCAAGGCAAAAATTTTGAGTAGAATTTAGCAGTTCGCAGATTTGTTGATCTAGAAATTCAAATTAACTCATAAATTTGAAATTAAGGCACCTGAGAATCCAGTCCATTGATTTGTCAGGGTCAGACTCTCAGTTTCAGGCACTTTTCCATAGTTTAAATTATATAATTTTGAGTCATTTTGACCAAAAACATTTTGAGTATATGCATTATGAAAAAGGAAAGTCTCTGCTTTCAAATGCTATAATTATAATTATATAAATGGTGGCTGTCATGAAAACGTGTTTCTTTTTAAACTTATTTTTCCAGAATTAGGCATTTATTCAAACATATATTAAACAATTAAGACATCAGTAACATAAAAACATAATGCATTTATAATACATTGAATATATTTAATATATTTATGATTTAAAATATTTTTTTTTCTAGTAAGCTACGGACCATGAATGAATTTCCTGAGGAAACTGTATCATCTGGTGACATGAGTCGTTTTGTTGACATCTTAAAACATTTATTTTGGCGATCACTTGAGAGATGATGCTGATAAATTGTACTGTATCAAACCCTCTCTGATGTTCATTCATTTTCGCTTATTTTTTGTGCTACAACTAGTGGTAAAAAAAGAAATTATCAGTTTACGTGCATTCTGTAATTGTTTTAATTTTGTAATAAAATGCTTGCTCATCACATTTCTCCACTAATTGCTCATTGCGACTTTTGAATCAAAATGAAAGAGGGTGTCACACATGTCAGTGGTGTATACATCATCTTATCATATGATTTGCCTTTGTGCAAAACCAAGTCTTCACTTCTCATCCAATACCATACAGGCATCAGGACAGATTGCAGCAAGGACCGTAGGACTGTCCCAACACATGCACAACATAATGCTACAGAAAAAAACGGCACTCCGAAAAAGCACTACATGCACACATACACACACACACACACAAACACACACACACACACATCTCTAAAAACACTCATAAACTTAAACATATATAAAACACAAAGACAAAGAAACATATTTGTTGGGAACAGTGTGTGTAGTTTTGCTTGGTGATGATCTTGTGGTGCTTTTGGCAGTAGGTAAGATCTGGAGTCAAACAGAGCATGCTCACACAGAGCAACATGTCATAAGACACAGACAGACAGCTTTACTGGTTAGAAAATTATCACGTGACAAATTGGTGGGCGGTAGCAGGAAATTCTTTTGAATGTGATCAGAAATCGCAGGTTTATGTTGTCGTTGTAAGTGGTGTAATTGTTGTGGAAAGTTAACTCTGTATGCAATCTGAAGTCTATGTATAAACTAGAACAGTGGTGTCAGATTATATGAAATCGTGTTGGTCTTAAAATCACTACATCTGGTGATGTTAATTGACAGCCTGTGAAGCTACATAGCATGTAGGGGCCTTTTATTTATCTAAGGCTGCTGTGAGCGGTTTGAACGCTTTTGTGTTAGACAGCGAAACATGGATGGATATCAGGTGGTGACCCTGGCATGGCCGTCTTCTGGGCTGTGCGCCCAGCCTAGCTGCAGCAGTGGGTAACCCTGTGTGCCATGCGTCGGGCCGGCCGGCTCCGCCCCTGACCTCCCTGAGAACATTCCGGCTATGAGCCAATCGGGTAGCATAAGGAAGACGGGAGAGAAGGAGAGATGGAAGGAGGTACAAACATAGAGACAGACCACAGGCATGTACAGTGGTGGAAGAAACAAGTAAAAAAACAAACAAACAACAAAGAAAAACAGAAAAAAGGGAATATTAAGGTTGGCCCCAGAAGGCAGCTGTATGTGTGTTAATATGAGTTTGACATAATGCAGCGTGATGTGGAAAAAAAAACTTATTTACATTATGTTAAAGGTGGGGTATGTGATTTTCTTTTTTGACCATTTTTTCAAAATCACTTGAAATCCTATTCCTAACCCACTTACAGCCACTGAGTTAGAAGCACTGAAATGAAAATTAAGCAATTTAATCATCTGTGGAATGGGCAGGACTCGAAAAACTCCAGCCAATCATTTCCAAGACCACCTAGAATCATTGGACAGTCAGTGCGTCAATCAAACAGTCGTACCATACCCCCATCCCCCTCGAGCGAGTCAGGGCCAGCGTTGGAGGAAAGAAGGTAGGACCTTTTGAGTTGTGTATTTTCAAAATCTGCCGGCCGTTTTGAAAATCACATACCCCACCTTTAAAAGAAATGTGGCTTGTGGAAGGATCTGAACTTGCAGGGAAGGGACTCTATTGGAAACTCCCTGTCTCATCTTATTTACATTTGAAAAATGTTGATAGTAGTATTTGAAATATAATAAAATAACTAATGAAAGTGAAACTTTAAAGGGGACCTATTATGCCCCTTTTTACAAGATGTAAAATAAGTCTCTGATGTCCCCAAAATGTTTATGTAAAGTTTTAGCTCACCACACCCCAAAGATCATTTTTTATAGCATGTTAAAATTGCCACTTTTGTGTGTGTTCCTTTAAATGCAAATGAGCTGGTGCTTTCAGACCCTTTTCTAGAAGAGGGCGGAGCTTCAAGAGCTCATGCAACAACAAAACAGGACAATCTCACGCACTAACAATGTCAGAAACTGTCAGTAGCGGTGTATATAAAGACCGTATGCCTATTTTGGGGGGTGCTTAATAAACTGGTAAAACTGAAAAAAAATCTGTAAAACAACTGATGAATTTTAATAAAGTGTGCGCTCTCCCTTTCATTACTGCCGTGACCAGTATCGCTCCGGGGACTATAAGCTGGATCATGAACAGTTGGTACTGATCCATCCTTGAGCAACAACTTTTTTACAAAACCTGTGTTTTGTATTGTCCCTTTGTATTGAGCCTACGGCCTGGAGAAAAAGGCAGACAGTGTACAACCAACTTAGGACGGGGAGCTAATACGGCAGAGTCCGTCAACAGTCGTGGGCGTGGCCTGTCCAATGTGACGTCACTTTGCCCAGAATCTGCAAACAGCTTGTTCTGAGACTCTGCTTGATTTATTGCAATAAAAAATAAAGGAGTGGGTGGATTTGTATCACTGGTTGTGTACACACTGCCAACACAAATGTATGTTCAAACACCATGCAAAAGTGAATATTGCATAGTAGGTCCCCTTTAAACAAAAGATGGGGTTTGTGAGCCCATGTATGTAATGTCTTGTTCTGACTAAAATCTGAGATGGCTGAGGAAATTTAAAGCTGCAGTAGGGAGTTTTGAGAAAACGTTGACTTAGCCTGAAAATTTGAACAAGCACAACTTACAGGTCCCACCCCCTTGCTCTCTGCTGCACTACAGCCCTCCCTCCACAGCTCCTCCCCCACAGCGGAGCCTGCCGTGAACACGCAGGCTAGTAAGCAGGGCCACCGATGACGGCGGATAAACAGTTACTGTATGGCACATTCATTAGTAGGGACGAAACATCAACAATATGCTTTACATTGACTAAGGCCTGCCCATTCTTTGACTACAAACTTGGTCCTCAAATCATTACGTATTTTGCAATACATGTAATGTAACTTTATAACGTTGCACCCTTTCTATAAGTTATAAATAGCTAGTAAGATAATATAACGGTAACTAACGTAACAGTATGTAAGTAATTATTCTAGCGATATGTAGGCCTAATGCTAGATAAGGTTTGCAAGTACATTATTTCAGCAACCTGACAAGCCAGTGAATTAGCAGGTTTCAATTGTTGCTTTGCACAGTGCGTGACATTTTATCTACATGTTACGCGGCTAGAGTTCCCTTTTAAGGGAACTCGAGCTGCATTGAGACGCGGTGGGAACGCCCCTGCGTGATTGCGTCGTGAAGCACGTGTATAATCAGTCCAATGGAGAGACGAGACGTCATTGGCGGGGGACGTCATCGACCAGGAAACTATAAAGCACACCTGAAAACAGACCGCGCTAGCTTCTGTGCCTTCAGCAAGCGCTCTGTGTGATCTTGTCTCTGTCTATTTATTGTTGTTTGTCCACAAGCATTATATATATATTAGACAGGAGTATGGAGAGCAAACAGCCTTGGATCGTGTGTTCATCCCTGCCCTCGCTTCATTACGAGTGGGGACACACGCGATTCATGTGTTGTCTGTTTGGGAGTGGAGCATGCACGGTCAGCTCTAGTAAATTGGGTCTGACTGTGTTCATTCATAAATTCCCGACGTGTAACATATGCACTATCGAGAGTTTTAGCTCTGCTCTTGTTGGCTTTCTTCTCGAGGGAAGAAAGTCAATAAAGATTTGGCTGGGATCTACGCGTTTGCCGAGGCAGCGCGTAGATTACGGGTCTGCAATAAAGATTCTGTGACTCGATCTCGGATCTCGCGTGTGCCGAGGCAGCGCGTAGATTACGGGCTGCATAAGAGTCGTGGCTCGGATCTCGCGTTTGCCGAGGCAGCGCGTAGATTACGGGTTTGCAATAAGAATCTATTGGCTCAGATCTCGCGTTTGCCGAGGCAGCGCGTAGATTATGGGTCTGCATCTCTACAATAAGAATCTGTGGCTCAGATCGCGCGCTTGCCGAGGCAGCGCGTGATTATAATTTATGGGTCTGCATTTCTGCATAATAAAGTGGCTCTTCTCACGTTTGCCGAGGCAACGTGTAGATAAATGGTAGCTAATATGCACAGGGAACTAAGTAGACGGGAAATTTCCCTTTCTCTCGTTCTCTTATGTTTGTTTGAAAACTAATTTTGTATTCTTTATTGTTTGAGATTATAATATGAGGTCTATATTAATACACTATATTCAGCCTTTAAACTAGACCGTTTCTACTTGTCTGGTTGATA